ACTCCAATATATGGCGAAAGTTTTGTGATTATGATTTCGGCGTCGGAGATTATTATGGTTCTTTCGTCAGAATTGGGAAATTTGAGATTCAAGAAGGCGATCCAAAATGGCGAATAAGTTTTGTAATTATGATCCGATTCTATCCAAAATTAGTATCTATAGGGTTTTTTTGGAAATTATGATTCTTCCATCAAAATTGAGAAATTGAAGTTGGTGACTTCAAAATGGCAATTTTTTTTATTATTATGGTCCGATTTTATTCGAAATTTGTATGTGGGGGTTTTTGTCGGAAATTTTTACAATTGCGACCTCTTTTTAGTTTCACCTGTACCGATGAATTAACTAAAATAAATATAATTGAAGTAACCACCAATGACTCACGTGACAGATTATTATAATAATATGAGTAAGTAGATAGAAGACCTCAGACTACTTTACTTTGTTACAATTTGTGTTGACATCATGTCATCAGAGACATGTGTCAGTAATAGAAACGTCAATTCAAGAGCTAATTTTGGTATTAAAATGGACAACTTTTGTGTCTGTTGGAGAAAAAATAGGTTTGATAAAAGCTGACTTTTTCGCTCCGGTTACTTGCTACTTTCCACCTGTTGATTCATTTGTTGAATCTCATTCATATCAAACGATATGCAAATTTGAGTAATCTGGATTTGTTTAACATAGACATCGAAAATAATGAGAACCCACTTCGAACAATGGGATATCAGTAGTTCGGTCGCGAACAAAAGAGAATAGATAATTAATTAATTGGTATGATGGCGATGGCGACGTTCACCACACAAAGTATCTCATATAGGTGCCTAATTGTCGAGGCTTCATTATTTATGCCGGTATGGCTACGCTTATTTCCGGTTTAACAGAATCAGTTCCTGTGACAGCATGATGTATACACGAACATGTTCATGATGGCAACTTCAATCCAAAACAAATTATGAAATGCGAGTAACATATACCTATGCTCTTTGACTCTATAATCCAGTTTTATGTAGTTTGTCCAATATATTTTCTCTGATTTGTTATAAGTTATCCTAGTATTCTTGATGAAATTCAGATTTGAAAACACTCCTCTGGTATATTATTATGCATGTCAATACTTCAGATTCAACAATGATATATTGCCACAGTATATGAATATATTGCTCAAACAGAATGTCGAGTGCGTGATTATTTATTAGAAATTATATGGAACTTATCTATATCGCCACAACCAACAAAGAGGAAGACCGGCGTATGCATTTTTATTATGGAAAACAATAGACTGTTATTACCAACAGTTGCATAACTGTGTTCTGAGAGAATACAGGATGTTTTCAAATCACTTGAGGAAATCAGAAGGAATATCGAATAATGTGGAAAAATTACAGTGACAGTTTGAATTTAGTTTTCGAATATCTTCTGAAATAGTTTCTTCCAATGAACAATGAAATCTTCAATTTTTTTTTCAGTTGACTCGGCTGTTACCTACTTGATGGAAATCCATAGAAACGATAAGATTTCCAAAAAAATTTCTTAATACGACATGTTTCGCTAATACCGTAGCTTCTTGAAGGGAAACAAAACAAAACTCACATTGACTTGCCCAACTTTTATCCTACTTGAGGATTTAAATTACCTGCGGAAAGGTAGGCTAAACTTCAATTTCAGTAAATTGAAACAGTTTTCAAATTTTTCCCTAGCCCCTTGCGGAGCACTTTACACGCGCGCGGACTGGGTATTTTTGCAAGTCAAATCATCTCCATTTTACTCATAAATCAATTTATCTCTCTATCTGAAAATACACGATAAAAAGTTTTTTAAATTTTTCCCTAGTCCCCTTGGGGAGCACTTTACTCATGTTTTTTTTTTTCATAAAATCTTGTGGACTGGGTATTTTTGCACGTCAAATCATCTCAATTTTCTCAAAAATCAATTTACATCATGAAGGCTAGGAAAAAATTTTAAAAATTTTTCATCGTGTAGTTCGATGGTGTACCTATAACGGATTAACTTGAAGGAGATGATTTTGAATTATTCCTTTGTTTCAATGTCAGTGATTCGAATACTATCAGTTATAATTATCGGTACTTAATTGACGTATATTAACAATATTTCTCATCATGACAAAAATTGACCGTTTTTGTTTTAATTGAGAGATTATTCAGTACCCATATATTCCGACGTTGGTAATTTATCTAGCGTAAAATTGCTCACAAAACATGCTCAACCACCATGTCGTGTGTGACATTTATGAGTGCAATCGCATTTTTTTTCTGTTCCGTTCTCATCTAAACCACGCGGTAACTGTAGTTGTGCCAATGGTAGCGTAAATAATTCTATTGTGTCAGTTATCGCATCAGGGAAATGTATCTTGAAAAACTATACAATAGCATTGTTCTTTTTATATATCTGAACATTCATTGGTTGTCAACAAAATCGCACAAATCAATAAAGGTATTGCGTCTAATCAGCTGATAGGGAGGATAGCGAGAAGAGGTAGGTATTAGAATGTTCTTTGGACTTCTGGGGATTATAAGTTCTTGGGAACAAGTGTTGGTAGAGAGTTGTTCGACATATCTTCAGGTGGACGACAGGAAAGATGTGTCGACTCAGCTAGTCGAGTTTGTCTGACTGGTATTGCTCGTTATGAAAGGATAGCCGAGAATTGTGAAAAAAAATCTGTGGAATGGAATTTATGAGCATTATGAGCGTATGTTTAGGAACAGCATTATGAAACGGGACGAATTTTTGCATCGAGTTTCATTTTTGAAGCAGATTTCCCGATGGATCTGATTTTTCCATGTGTGATTTGTGGAAATAGTGGTACCAGACATTATTATATCAGACATGCTGAGTTTGCCTTTTTTTCAGAGAAAATTCAAGTTTGAGTTTTGCGGTGGCGTTGAATTCAACCAGGTTGTAACATCTGAATTATCCATATCGGACCAATTCTCCATTTTTATTTTCCTATATCAATGATAAAATATAAATGAAAATGATCCATTTTATGGAGGAAAAAGAAATAAAAACATTTCGATTTTCTTCGAAATTCCGACTAAACCTCATAATACAAAGTGCTTGAAAAATTGTTTTTGACTGATTCAGATATCTATAAATTGAGCAGATCGAATTCAAATATTCAAAAAAATATATAAAAAAAACGCTATTTCATGAAATTATTTTTTTATGAGTAAGTCATCATTGTGTTCTATCTTGCGTATGCTACGCATGGTGTAGGAGGAATCACTGAATTTCATGAATACGAAACTCATTAGAATCACTGTCGAATTTTATAAACGATTATTCATCCCGAATCTAATTATACTTGGTGACCGTTATGGACTTGACCTTGATAAAATATTATTAATCGCACGTTTTCTGCATTGATAATATATACACACAGAGCCACGAGACGTGTGTCGAAGAATTCAACGTGAATATAACGTGCATACCGAGAAGAGAAATGAAAGGAATCTGTCGTTTTTAATGAACATATCCATACAGGAGACAAGAAAAACGGTACTCCGTTCATTAATTATCATATTTATTACATCCAACGTTGACACAATACTTTCTGTTAGTTAGCACCCATAGAAAATGCGCGTTCACACTCTTTCTCAACCTACAGGATTTTCGCTGAGGTCGTATTGGTAGGGAATCTTGAATGTAGGTATGTATCGTTTTTTTTTTAAATCAAATTGGTCTTTACTTCATTGTTTTTTACACAAAACTCTCAAAAATGCGACATGTTTCGCTGGCAGTGCTTGCACAGTATAGCTTCTTCAAACATAACTCACTAACATAAAGGATAAGAGGCAGGCTAGCCAATCCTTCATATTCAATGACGAATGAGCTTCAAAGAAGTTGTTTTCAAAACTATGAATTTCTTCTGAAACATGTTCAGAATATTATGTAGAATTCATTTTCTCTTTAAAAACTCATATAATGTTCCCTAATGCGGTGGTTGAACGTTCTAACTGTCTGACCAATATATTCCCTAGGACAAGAAGACAAGAACCACAGGTCAGTTTGTATACCCCTCATTTTGCGAATTTAGAAGTTTTGTATTCATGATTTTTGATAAACCTCCCCAAGATGTTGATTTATCTATAAGCAACTCTCAGGTCTTGTTTATGCAAAAATCGAACTAATTTTTCTGACGATGATCCGAAATAATAGGTCGAAGTTCTATAATTTTGATTTTTTTCTTCGTATGATTTTAAACCAATCAGATTCAGAATATTCAATTGAGTTGAGCTTCCTTGTATACATGATTGTACATAGAGTAACTCCACCAATCAGAAATTTAGAATTATTTCCGTAGTAAATCGATATTGTTACATACAAACAAAGCGCGTCGTAAAATATTGACGTTCGTTCAGAACTACTTAAAAAATAATCGCAACGAATACAATTCGAACTCCAAACTATGCAAGGTTATATATATCCCGTGATATATCTCGATCTTCCCGCATAATTAAAAGTCGTGTCAGCTCAACAGAATAATCTTATGGCTTCGCGGTCGGATTATTTCAACTGTCAAACTGGCACTCTTTGTGATTATGCAACAAGTTATCCATGTATAACCCGAATATTTTCAAGTACTCATAGTAATACTACTGATATTTTTTTCTGATGATTTTATGAAATTCACATTGCTTATTAACGAAGCAAGTTGGTAGTTTAATATATTGTTCGAGTATTCCACTTGAAGAAGCTCCTGTGTTAGCAAAAAATGTCGTGTTTTCAAGAATCTGGTGAAAATCTTATCGTTTGTGGAATGTTTCCCATTCATTATTCATCGGTTTATTGGGATCTCATTATCAATTGATTCATCAATCTGTATCTCTCAAACCAAGATTATTTAAAAAATCTCTTTCAATTGTCATCAAGATCAGTGAAAAATACAATGAATGTTGGAACTATTCCTGATACTTCACGTACAGTTATTCATTATGGGCACACGTGACTGTAATCGTTGTTCGGATTTGTATTCAACTCACCGCTGGTGCTTTGATTGTCCAGAGTGTTGAACCTGGAGTCCGGAGCATCCGGAGAATCCGGACTGGGCGGATGATCAGAGCCTATTCCGGAACTACCTCCGCTGCTTTCTAACCTCTTAGCTTTCCCATTTTGTCCCACGATGTTAGCGTTGAGGCAGCGCCTCAATTCAATACCTGTTCCAGGAAAATTTCCAATTCAAAGTTTAACATAACCTTCAATTATTACCCTATACTGTTTCGCCATTGACCAAACCGATTTGTTCTCTTTCTCTCTTCTTGGAACAATATTTAATCATTTTCTGAAGATGTTAACATAGGTGGCAAAACACGTGTCGAGGCAATTGAAAAAAATTGGTTTGATTAGTGGTTAAACAGTGCGTCGTGTGATTCTCGTGCTAAAGGTACAGTCTTCCACACATTCAATAATCAGTTGAGTTATATTATCATATACAAAAGTTGGGTTATAATGAATTTGGTGAACAGGTTGTTAAACCTATCCCAGGTAACTTGTTTAGACGCCCTCGTAGAAAAAATACTTCGATTAATAGGATATTATTGATATTGAGAGGCTAGACTTTTCCACATTTGAGAACTGTTTCTTATACTCCAAACTTAAATTTTTTGATATGGCTATATGAACTGACCTGTGAGGTTGCCTTTAGTCCTGTGGACGGTGTCATAGTCACGTGGTGGCAGTAAAATCGGCGAATTCTTCTTCCCTAGTTTGGCGCGAAGCTCAGCTGCCACCGAATCATACAGGGTTGTCACTCTTGTGTTTTCTACGGTATACCTGAAAATCATGAATACAAAATTGAACATTAGATGGTATATGGTTACGAAAAAATGATTCGATTGCAACGAGAATGATTGATCAAAGAGCTCTCCTTGTTCTACTATACTTGACTGAAGATAGGTACTTACTGTACCAGAAAAGATTTCATGAGCTATTTCTGTGGAGACAGTTTTGTTCTTTATAAATGAAAAATGAAACATTGAGGTCTAAGATATTTTGATATGTCCACCAATGTTCACCAGATCGCGCTACTGAGACGTAATGCCGAAGAACTGATAAATGAGTTTAATCTTTTTATTTCATTTGGCCTCTTCTCTTTCTACGATATCTTCTCTATAAAATTTTGTGTGAAAATGATATGGCCTATGCGAGCTTGAGTCATGGTTAGACTAAATCCCGAAGAATATAACAGCCGACCGGTGAAGAACCTGTACCGACTGGTGCAGGGGCATAGAGCTAAGGAATGGGTGCTGAAAAACCAAACTGGAATGCACAAAAAGAGATTGAGGAGTAGCTGGTGACAGGACCAGCATTCAAGGAAAACAACTGGTGATACTGAAAATAGTATCCCTTATATGAGAAAAACTGTCTAAGAAACCACATACCTTTCTTCGCTACTCTCACTCTCCCTCGTAGAAGTCCCCGTATCGCTGCCGATACTGCTCTCCACTTTTTTCCGCTCATTCTGAGGCTTGAGCCTGCTCTCGATCTCGGCGAACTTCTTCTGGTTCTCCGGCCGCTCTATCAAAGTCTGCAGCTGGCCTTTGAGCAACGTGGCCGTCTCCAGGCTGTCACACCTGTACGCGTGCACGTGCAGCGGGCATTTAGTCACCGGATTGAACAGCAGCAGGATGCACGCTATGACGTCATCGTGCTGGAGCACGCAGGTGATGGTGTTGTGCGGTATGAAGTGCTTGATGGTCTCGTTTTTGGGTTTGGAGCTTTTCGGGTTCTGGGATAGCACGTTCTGGACTATCTTCAGACCCTTGTGGGATACTTGTAGAGTGACCTTGAAGGGTTCCACGTCCTTTTCTCGCTCTTCTAGGTGTTTGATGACGGGCAGGATGTATTCGGTGCCTCGCAAGCCTTTGGATTCTTTAGCGCCGAGGAACCAAACGTAGTAGCTGGATTTTTTTATCTCTTTGCGTAGTTTCAGAGCCATTGTGTCTTATTTTTCATCATCCTTCATTGTTTATTGGTGTTTTTTGTCTGTATGGCACTAATGGTTGATTGGGAGGATGGGTTTTTACGTCATTTTGTAGAGCAACTCCTCATCCATGTATCTGTAACAAAAAAATACAGGGTATTGCATGCGATTTGAAAGAAAAAACTGTGCGTGTTTTTTATGTTTTTTGTGTTGTCTAGGGACAGTAAAGTGGTTTATATTTTTTATTTCGGAAACAAAGCGAGATACGGAAACACCTTATGAGATAAAAAAGTTGTTACATAAAATATATTGGTGAATCTGGAAAAATATATAAATTACAGAGAAAGTCAGTGGTGTATATTTTTTTTGTTGATAATATATATTAAGGTTCCCTCCGAACGTCACTTGATAATTGTTTTCTATCAATGGCTTGATGAGCCCCTCATATTCATGAATATCGTTATTGAATTTCATCTAAATTGGGTGAAGCATTTCTGAAATGAAAATAATTAACTGATTCATAAACAAAACTTGAACACCTCGTATTTCGAAAACTAAGCGACATTCGACATTTTTGTCTTAAAATTAAGTGGTCTTTTCATTCTGTCAGAGAGGTTAGGAAACAACCTGTTTATTGTGCTATTTCGTAGTTTTGAAATGTTATGTTATAATGTATAGTACCATTACCTGTATAGTCATAGCTTATTTTGTACAATTATCAGCTATGTATGACTAATAGTTATGTCCCAAAATTTATTCAAATTGCAATATCGAAAATTATCGAATTGGGATTGGATTTAAGTTGTCTAGCCTGGGGGCGTTTTGAGAAATCTAGGTCACGGAATCTCAAATTCACTGTACCAAAGCGCGTTGACTCTTCAGGAGAAACTCTCGTCGAATAGGTATATATAATTAAATTGGATAAAGATATATAATACAGCATTTTACGTATTATGTAATTCACCAAATTGTTGCCAAAAACTCAAACACCAAAATCATCATCTCAATTTATAAAATTATTCTCCAACGCAATTGCGAGAAATGTTTTATTTTTATCATGCATTTCCAAAATTAGTTGAAATAATATGCAAAAAATCCATCTTGCAAAACAATGCATTACGTGAAACTTTTAATTCCCATGTCCTCCACTGATTATTATCGAGAAAATCACCTTGTACACAATAATTGAGAATCACAAACTTCTCCTCAGAATCCTGAGAATTTCACAGACAATAAAAAACACACTTGCGCCATTTGACAAACTATTTACACCAATTACTACAATTGTATTTTAATAAATGCTTGCTTGCATAACTATACCTGTATACATTGAAGTTTGAATTCTCTATTTGTTTTAACTAATTTAATAGGTAAATAAACATTCTTCGTTGTGACATAAAGTTTCTCAGGCCATACCAGAGGCTCACAAAAAATATCTCCCAATGATGTATGGATCCTCCCCCGATATTCACTCTCTTTCTGTGATTATAAATAAAAGTGATTATGATCTTCGGGCTTTATATTGAAGTTATTTAAAAAAACCGAGTTCCATTGAAATTTCATAGTTTTGTAATGCTATACCATATAAAAAAAATCATTTTAACATAATGGAATATTGGGTTTTTGTTCGGAAAAGTCGTGTCGTCACAGGTCACTTTCGCATTTCAATCAATCAAATCAGTTGTAAGAATTCTCTTCAGTCTTATACGTCCTTTTTCAGAATATAACGAATAGAACTGATTTTTGAAATGATATTTATTGAAAAGACTAGGTAAGTACATAAATTAGAAATCCTACTTCTGATATTTGTTTCGATCTACTTTTGATTATTTGCCTTGGTGCTCCAACATCTAATGCCCTAATATGAACTTATTAACATCCATCGTTTTAAAGGAAACTATCTACCCTACCAAATAAAATCTTTCTCCTGGTGTCACCAATCTGCAAAGTTACCAAGCTTGGTATTTTAATATAGAAATCCACTGACCTGGTATGTCATAGATAAATGTATGTATGTAGTGTAGTGTCATCTGCAAATTGTATGAATTTCCCATTAATATCAATCAAGGCTAAATCATTAATGAATAACAAAAAAAGGATTGGGCCAAGTACAGAACCTTGTGGTACACCCCATCTATCATCTAATTGATACTCTATTCTGGATAGATACCCTTTGAGTTCCTCCGAATGAATAGTACTCAAACCACTGAAGAACAATGTTTCTAAAACCACATCTTTCTAATTTTTGCAACATTATTTTGTTGTTCGAAGTCGAAGGCTTTAGTCAGATCACAAGAAATTGATGCAGCAGCTTCCCTATCATTAAATTTTGAGATATAAATGTTACAAGAGATTGAAAATGGCATCACCTGTACTCTTTGCACTCTAAAATCCAAACTGAACAGAATTAATAATGTCATTCCTGTTTGAAAATTTCATCATTCTTTTTCTAACGAATTTTTCAATTATTTTCGATCGAGTCGGTAGCATTGAAATTGGTCTGAAGTTTGCAGGATTGTCGGTATCACCACCTTTATATATTGGAATAACTATTGCTCTCTCCAGACATGGTGGAAATACTCCTGATGTAAATGAATCGAAGCTTGCAGGTGCAAGAGTTTTTAGCGAGATCAGATGATTCGAACTTCTCATTACCCACCCGGTATGCCTAGTTGTTATAGCATCTTCGAATAATTTTTCGAGTATTCTCTTCACTTTGACGCATGGTGGATGGCTCATCAAAGCATTCCGGTTGATGAAGAAAGTTAATCCATCACCGAAGGTGTTTTGACACCGAGAAAGCAAGTTTCTTATAAAGGCACCTCAAAATATCATAATATAATCGCATACCTACTGTTGTTGCGTCCCTCCTGCTGTTTCTTTTTTTCTGTTGACGAAAACAACTTTCACGATAGCAATCCGCAAACATTTTTTTAATCGGCCATTCATCGTTCTGATGCGATCTACTACTGATATACATTATGATGCAAATGTATGGAATAAATTCATTTCAAAATAAGAAGACTTTCGAAAAAAATCCAAAAACTAGAGTTTAGAACTTCTTTAATTGATGTATTATTTTAACTAGACAACTCTCCGTTGTTCCATTCTCAGTAGCAGACCACTGCAAAATTAATTTAATCAAATGATAATCTATCTTGATTTCAACCTTCTCATGCAAAATTTTGACTGTTGAATGGACGATCAGTAGACCTTTCAAACGAGGTGTCACATGACCCCTGTTTGTATTTAAAAAAATCGTCCACTACGTCATTACTCCAACACAGGTGACGTAACATCTCCCATATGGATATCATGAAATGAGGCTTCAAAAATAAAAAAACTCACGCGTTTTTGAATTTTTTTCAAATGTTGCCCATTTCTGAAATAATGAATTTATTCCATTCATTTGCATCATACTGTATATTAGCAAACGGTTCATTCAGAAAAATAGATTGTCTTAGTTCACGACATATATCAGGATTTTTTTTAATGATATCATAATAATAGCAGGTATATAAAATATTGCACACACACACTGTACCCCAGCAAGCACAAACATCCCTGAAATGTTTTGAAGATATTGGCATGAAAATGTTTTTTTTTGAGACAAAATATGCACTTTCCAATGAGGTCTTCGAAGGATATTGAAGTTTTCTTTTTGTAAGTAGTAGTATTGTAAAAAACGGCTCGCTTGGTGATGCCTCGCTCACAAACTCACTCACTTCTCTGGGACACCGTAGAAAAGTTGCCGATCTGGCTCTATTTTATACATATTTTCATGGACAATGCTCTTCTGAAATATCAACAATTGTTCCTCCCTTGGCAGTCCCCGCGAGATTAACCCGTCGAGTTGAGGCTTCGCACTCCTTCGTGGTCACTTTGGAGACCTGCAGAACATCTCTTTCCAAAGACTCGTTCATCCAACGAACAGCGAGGCTCTGGAACACATTGGCAGGGGAGGTGTTCCCCGAGGCATATAACCTCCAGAAATTCAAGAAGAACACCAATTCCTACCTCATTTTCCTTGGTTCTCACGATGTTAAAAAAAGTTCTTCTCTGGCATTTCTTTGTGTGCCTACTGAGAGATATCCCTAGGATGTTTTGGATGTTTTGAAAATGTTGACATGAAGATGTTTTTTTTAGACGTAATACGCACTTCCCAAAGAGGTCTTTGGAGGACATTGAAGTATTGTTTTTGTTCTTTTATGCACTAGCGGGCCGTAAAGTGCACTTTACCGCCCGGTTTTGCGGGCGTTAAGTCGCACTTTACCGCCCGCGGGCTCATTATGGCCCACGGGCCGTAAAGTACACTTTACCGCCCGCTGTTCTCAGTCACCTTATATCCACATATCAATTTATGGGAAACCTATGATCATATTCCTAGATTCTAATATATCCAGCGGTATATCATAAACTTCTTCTTCATCCGATTCCATAGTCTCGCTATTATTATTATCACTAATTTTACTTTTCAATCAAAGAATGACAATTCAGCTCGTTTATTGGATGTATTGCTATAGACAACAACCATCAGATTGATTGACAACGTCAAAATGAGTTAGGTTTATATACTGGGTATGCATATTGTAAAATTCTGAAGAATGAATCTCTTCTACAGCTGAAAGAGTTTCACTATTACGATTATTGCAATATTCGTACGATAATTTTCATATGTAAATCATCCATGAATATTACGCTTCTCTTGATTACTGAATTTATACGTAACAAATTAAATTCTGGGGAATATTAGTTTATCGAAATCTATAGTCATTACTTATGAGTCAGAAAATAAACCACTAGTGCATAAAATTTTGTATGTATCTCGTGCGTGAAATGCGTTTATGGCCTTCAGCGTGTAATGGCCCTCGGCTAGCGCCATCGGGCCATTATTCACGCCACAGGCCATAAACGCCTACTTTACGCCCTTGATACATAAATAACTATTATGGCCTTCCTTTGTGTGCCTATTGAGAGGTATTCCTGAGATGTTTTTGGAATGTTTCAATAATTCA